CCTTGTCTATAGAGCTCAGAGACTGGAATTATATGATTCAAGTAGACTGATGCAGTTATAAGATTTTTATTGCCTACAATCGATATAATAAATAGGGTTTATGCTATTTTGATGGCCTTAAAGATTTTTCGTATTGATGAATATGACCGAAATTAAAAAATATGTTAAGGTTTAGCTGTATTAAAAATGTACTTCAGAAACACCTTGTAATAGTCCATTTTGTTTTAGGCATGAATTGCTTTTCGAAGTAGAGAGGTAAGTGAAAATTGTATGATGAGCGCACCAGGTTTTTATTTAAAGGTTTAAAACAGTGAAATCAACTCAACCCTCGGATGCATGCAGCGGGAAATTTGAAAAAAATGTTCATTTAAAAACGGAAGGCTGCTCATTAATCAAACATAAAATGCAAGGATATGTTGCTATATAAAATTATCTTTGAATATAAACTAAAATTTCAATAATAGGAATATAAGGCGTGGTAAAATACTTGCGTATCTATTTCTAGGTCTTAGCTTAGCCATTGATTTTAGTTTACATATTTTATTTATTCATGTAGATTCATTTTTTTTTATTTTGTTTTGTTTTTCTTCGAAATATGGGAGGAACGAAACGATATTCTCTCCCCTCTCTATTGTTTGGGGGGCGATCACTGAAGAGCTTTAATTTCTTTCTTTTTGTATTGCCTAAGATGTATAATAATACATATAAATGCATGAACACACCTTTTATTTCCAAATAATTTTCAAAACAATTTAAAATCATGATTTTTCATGTAAAGTGCTTTTTAGCCCAGGCAAATTAGCACAAAAGAATCTGGTGCCCGCAACATACAACTTTCACTTACCGCTCAACTTTGAATAGAAATTATTTTCTGGCCATGCTGGACAATTATAAAAAATTTTAATTGCATTTTTAACCGAGCTAAAGCTAAAAGCTTAAAGCTAACAAATCACAAATACTATTAAAATAACAAAAGTCTTATTTATTATATCACGGATTGATTATGGGTTGTACGATCCGTTGATTATGGATTGTACGACTATTAGTTATTAAACTGTTATTTTCCATTGCATATTTCACTAAAATGGAATTAAGAGATGTGCATTGTCTGTCATAGACAGGTCAAAAGTTGTCACACTAATTGGAAGTGGATACTGTTGAAATATCACAAAGGGAAAATTCATCAAATTATTCACTAATTTAATTTTCTAAAAAGTTACATGACGATTTTTCGGAATAAACGGACGTTGATACCTAATTATTTAAATATAATATCAGATCCAGAATTATTAAACTCCATTAAATGTATTTAAGGTTATAAACATATGCTTGATACATCTTTATATCTTTCACAACTTTCTATATTAGATATTGTTTTTTTTAATTCTCCGCTCTCACGATGTATTATACGTATACATTCTGACTAGTATTTCCGGCGATTCATTTACCTGAATAAGCATTTGTATTTTGTTCTCCAATATTCAATTATCAAATTCTTTCAAAAGTTATATTTAGAATTTTTTCGTAGCTCTTAAAAAATTGAGTTAAAATAGTTAAAATCACCATATCAAAGGTACTTTAGAGGAAGACGTTTATGAACATTGGGCATTCAAGCCCTGTAAAGTGACATCAAAGGGGATAAGACCTAAATTATATTGAGAACCACTTAATTATACAATGATACACCGAGTTTTATCAAAATCGTTTGATCCGTTTTTGAGAAAATTGTAAAAATGTGTTTCAGCGTTGATATAGAGTGCCACTTCAAGTTAACCGATTTTAAGGAAAACGTTGATGTCACATCTATGGCATATACCTATCTTAAATACGTAATATAAGTTTCGTACGACTTTTCGTTTTTGAGCTAGACTGCTAACAAACACACACACACACACACACACACACACACACAGACCATTTTTCGGGACTTGGTCATTTCGACTCAGGGTACCTCAAAACGTGTATTTCCGTTGAAAACTCAGATTCAAAATTGTTTTCGATCCTAACTATATATTTCATATATACGTAAGTGAAAGTAAAAAAGAATTTGAATTACCTTTTGCAAGCTATACCGTTTTATAGCGACCCCCTCTTAGCATCATCTTGAAATATTCTGTTCATCTGTCTACTACATATTAGTTTAGCCATATAATGGATACTGATCCTTGCTTTCTTTTCTGATTTTTTGGCACTTCCTTTCTCGTTCGCTCAATGTATTTTTGTGTAAAATTTCGCGTTTTTCCTCATTTTGAGACCAAATACTAACAATCAGTTCCGGTTACCTAGAAGAACTTATAGCTACGCCCTTTTCATCTTTCTTTGTCCAGAGAGAATAATTCATTTAATATTAAAATTTCCTGTTTGTTTTATGATATGGTCCAAATTCTGAACAAAATAAAAAAGTAGAAATTTCCTGTAATAATTTCCCTCTCCTTTGTAAAGTGGTCTATCGTCCTCCTCTTGTTCCATTTGTTCCGTCCTTAGAATCAACCCTACTCAACATTGTTCCCCTCTATCCTAGAATAATCATCTCCGGTGACCTAATACCAATTTCCTTTCTAATTCCAAAGAAGGATGTTGTGGTTAACTGTATTAAACGCTTTGGAAAAATTTAGAAGGATGAGAATAGTGACATTTTGGTATTCAATGGAGATTTGGAAGTCGTGGGATTTTAAGGAGTGCAGATTGCATTGAATAGCCAGGTCGAAAGCCAGATTGGAATGGATTGATGGGGGAACGTTCTTCCAGGAAATTGGAAAGTTGGTTTTGGACAAGGCGTTCCAGCGGTTTTGATAGGTTGAAAAGGGGAGAAATAGGGAGAAAGTCGTTCAGTGAAGATGAGTTAGAAATTTTATTCAAAGGACGGACTACTATGCGTATATAAAAAATACGGATGTAACGTATATACAAAAAAAATGTTGTTTTCACTGCGTTGACGTGGCTTGTTTGTTTTTTTAGTGACGGCTAAAGGCCAAATCGGACTCAAGTAATCCTTTAGTTGGAGGAGGAGGTCGATTAACCTTACTTCTTCTGTCTCCAAGAGTTATGTTTTTTAAAGTGGTTAACTGGTGTAATGCTAGTCGATCTAAATAGTAGGGGTTAATATTATTTTTGATTATCCTCAACATTTACATTTGGTCTTCAGAAGGGATAGTTGACAACCTGTTGAAATAATTTTTCATTACAGCCACGTATGAACCAATCGATTCTGTAGGTTCTATGATTCTTCTTCTTAGTTTATCCTATAATTGATCCTTATAGTCCAATGGTGCATATTCGGCTTTCAACTCCGAGGCAAGTTCAGAACACGCTGTAACTTTCTCCAGATTGATCGAAACCAAATTAGTGCGGGACCCTTAAATAAATCGTACACCGTTACAAAAATATCTGTGTCATTCCTAGCCAATCTTAAATCTTCAACCGTTTCAAGAAAGGCATGCACACTAAAACCCTCTCCATTTCCAATTAAGTTAATTTTCTAACCTCTTATAGGAATTTGAGTCTTTCGTATCACGTTTCTTCCTGTAGATCTTGGAATATTTTCGATTGTTTCATTAATTATCCCTTTGGTTTCTCTTTGTTGCTAATATTCGAGATTCTGCACTTCAAAATTGTGATTTTTGTCTTCTGATTATTTTTTTCAAATTCCTCGAAAAGATGTAAACACTTTGAAACACCCTCCGACGTTTTTCCCATTTCAGTAGCATTTGTGGCCGTGATTCGGTTCAGTCTATTATTTAGATGTTGTAATCCTATGTCGATCTTATCAATTTCTTCTGCGGAACTAAAGGACGTTATTGAAAATATTTTCTTCTTGATTACTATACCTTTTTGCTCACAAACACATAATGCAGAAGCGGCAGGAGCGACACATTTTCCTCTAATCTCTATTTTCAAAACAGTTCGTAATTTTTTTCTCATTTCGTCCACTTTATTTATTCCGTTTATTCTACGATTTTTTTATCATTATCCAACTGTAATACAGATATCCCACTTTGAGAAAAACTTCTTCATTTAATTAGCTCCAAGTTCATATTAATTAAATTAAGGTTTATTCGGCAAATTCTTCACCTCAAGTTGTGTAAAAGAAATGTAGTGATTTTTTATTTTATCACCTAAAAATACCTATGTTTTCAACAAAATTGACGACAATTAACTGTTGCAAAAGCTTTTATTTCTTGTTTTTCCTTGATATGGGAAACATTATAAGGAAAACATTTCCTAAATACACTTGTTATTTATAAATACAACAATTATATAATAATGATTTGTTGAATACTTTTCATGTAAAGTATTTACGAAACTGTATTTTTCATTCAGATCTCTGTCAAAGGAATTGATCTGTTATATATTTATGTTGTTATGCAAATAATTGAGACAATCAGCAGGGTTTTTTTTTTCTTTTAAACCTAAATTTTGAATTGTTATAGTACATTATTATTGATAATAATTTATGATTTTTTTAAAAACCGAACTTAGGCAAGTTAAGCCGCTTCAGAATTTCTCTTTAAATGGTTTTAACAATGAAAAGATCTATTTTTGTTTGAAGAAAATTGTATCTAGTTTACAGAGTAATAATTGTCAACACTAAATATGGATTTCCTACTTTTTTGCTGAGAATTGGCCCATGGTTTACATGTATGTTTTTTAGGTCTTGAGGTCTGCTATTACTCCTATAAAAATTTCCCTCTACTTAAGGGACACTCTGTATATTAATTTTTCATTTTATTACTTATTATATTCTATATTTGTAAGTTAATAAGTGTAAATAATCTTATATGTAGCTGAGTTCACCACACATAATTAAAGAAATAAAGTAAAGTTAGTTGTGGCAGAATTTTTTGATGACAACTCTATCTTCTTATTTCTAATGTATTTAAATGATGTGTATTTTCACTACAACATACCATTAGAACCCGAACAGCAAAAATAGATTATAACATAATCAAGCTTTATTAGTAAAGGGAAATAAAAGTGATCAATAGGAACAAAAGAGAAACTTATTTATACATCATTTTATTTATTATATATTCATTTTTGTTTAAATAAAATAATAAACTAGTCATCGCATGTGCAAAACAGAGTAGGATAAGACACACATGCACCCGCACACACACACTCACGCAATGTGTATTTGTATATTAAATTTATTAAGTAGAAATATCTTGTTTAAAACATAGAACAGACCCTGTGAAAACTTTAAAATTAATAAATTGGTAAACAAAATTAATGATAACAAGAAACAAATTACTTATTTATAAAATCTTATATAACTACTACAATAATTTTATTTAAAACAGGTAACTATGAAACCAGTTTTCATATGGTTGAAGAAAGTAATGGTAACAATTACTGGAATAAATTATTAAATGATAAAGTATTTAATCTTATCAATAAAAATTGGACATATATACATATACTAATTCTTTACTAGAACATTGATTAAATATCTATTAAACTTGGAATACAAGAATTCTTTCACAAATGATTTTAATATAATCTTCATGAAATAAACTGTTGTACCATACCATATTTTACTGTATTCATTATATTTAAAGCAATAAAGTTGAAAAAAAATGTGGTATAAATTGAGTAAAATTATTTCCATGCATTTGGAAAAATATTTAAGTATATTAAAATCTTAATTACAAGATTTTATTATTGTAATAAAATTAAAAAAAATGAAATTTATTACTTTTTTTGCTTCATCTATCTCAATAAAGTGGAGGCACTAAAATGTATGTTCAGTTTGCCTTTATAAAATTGAATTGTACATACATCCCATTAATTACATTAATAATTTTACATACATTACATTAATCATTTACAAATAACTATGTATGATGAAAAAATAAATGAGATTAATAAAGGAAGTCAAAGAGCCTAACTATTAAACACAGAATGACATCCTACAAACAAGAAAAAATCTATTACACATAATCATTGAGAATGATGCATATTTCATGGATAAAAACTTTAATAAATAAAGAACAACAAAAACTTCAAAATTAAATTAGCTAAATGTAATTGGTCCTCTAAAATATTTCAGAAATAATTTTCTTACTAATGTTGCTCAAAATCTAAATACGAATTAAGGTTAGTTCTTAATAACAAACTAATCATAATCTCAATTATATATTTATAAACTTGTTATATCTGGCATCAAAAGTAAATATATTATTTATTACTTAAATAATATAGATTTAACATAATGAATTTGGTCAGTTAGAACTAGGATTCTCTCACCATAAATAAAGTGCTACATAATTTGAACTGATGTTTTAAAATACAATGATAAAAATTACTATGATTTTTCATTATATAAAAATTATAGTAGAAAAAATTATTAGTAATGCAATTGAAAATATTAATAATTAAGTTAACATGAAAAATGATTTTCTATCACTAATCTTATAAAAAATATAAATTGGTAGGAGTATAAAAAAATAAACAAAAACAGGAACAATTCTTTGTTATACAATCAAACATCTCTGAAAGCTTGGGTGAAGCCAGGCAAAACATTTGTTGATACAGGAGGTTTATCCAGCTGATTGACAGCAGTTAACTCTAAACTAGAGGAAGGTCCTGCTTCAGACTCGTGTGACCCATGGGATTTCTCAATGTGCCTTGAAAGATGATCAGATCGACCATAAGTTCTGGGGCAAAACTGGCAAAGAAAGTCACGGCTCCTGTTATGGACAACTGAGTGTCTTTCTGCATCCTTACGGGTAAAGAACGAACGGTCACAGTCAGAGCAGCGATACTTCTTATCTGCAGCTGATTTGGAGAGTCTGGCCAATAATAATTATTTAAATTTTTTATTTTTATATGACATAAAATTCTAAATTTTTGAAAACATCAGTAACTATACCTATTTATATGGGTATTCTTATAATTTAGAAACTTTAAAAATTGTTAAATTAATTCCGAATGACTTTTAAATCAACAAAATAAATACAATAATGGACAAAATCAGCACACCACCTATATTCTTCAAAGATTTTCACTTTTTCAATTTTTGGAGCCCAACAAAATTTTTATATGACAAAATTAGTCATTTGAAAACAAAATTTTATTTTAAGTTACTAAAATAAGGTGTACACTTAGTAAAAGAAAAAAAGAAATGTTGGCAAACTTAATAAACACCATTAATGACTGAGATTCCTGAATATTTTTTATCCTTACAATTTTGGTATATACAGTTAACTATGTATCCACCTCTAAAAGATAAAATATTCTCTATACCATAAACTTCAAAAACACAAATCAAAAGGAAAACTCACATTTTTGTAAAATCGATAATAGGTATTTCCACTCCTAGTGCGAATTACATCCCTCAAACATCGTTTCATTGATTTGAAAAGATTTTCAATAAAGTCATAAGGAATGTTGTCCCACTTAATAACTGTTTCTAGTTCCTCAAGGGTGCTAGGACACGGATTCTGACTTTTTATTCTAATCTTAAGGTCATCCCAAACATCTTTGACTGGTTTCAAGCATGGCCACACCAAATGTTCAATCCCAACCTCAATCAGCTACTCTCCACCATTCATAATCTGTGTGGTCTGGTATTGTGGTCCATAAACATGAATCCCTCATCGATGTAGGGTGCGAATGGCTCTACATGCTCTTCGATTACCACTGTGATGTCAGTGACCTTTCTTGCACCACAACCAACTCTTATCAAAAGAAATGTCACCCCAGAACATCAGTGAGCCATCAGGAAATGCCTCCTTGGGAGCATTTCAGCATGGGGCATACCTTTCTCCTGGGCATCTCCAGATGTAAATATAGCCATGTGAAGAGTTGAGAACAACTCTCATCTAATCTGTGATGAGAACTCTCTTCCAATATCCAATTAATGGTCTTGTGGAAATCGAAGTTTGGCCATTTGTGAGCTGTGGTAAGCAGTTCAGATGTGCCTAATGACATTTTCGGTGATACTGTGGTTCCACAGTCTGTTGCCTGATGTGCGTATCGTCTATTGCTTCTGTACACCTAGGCCAACCCTGTTCTTCTCTGTCTCTGTGAAATGTTTTAGAGCTCTTCCGAAAGTTGTAAGGTGAAATCTCAGTCTCGTCGTGACTTCACTTTGGCTGTATTCTTTCTCAATAAATGTCACAGCCCTAACACAGTCAAACTCACTTAAGCAACTTACTCCGGCCATTGAGAAAGAAAAAAAAAATGTGTAGCAATCTGAGTTCATGAGAAAGAACTAATAAGAACAAATTTATGAATGGTAAATAGTACCTGTCTAATGCTGCAGTCTGTGTAAATCAGGATTAAGAATCCTCAAGAGTAAACAATGCATAATTTGTTGTTTATATGGTCTCTGAAATTCTCTAAATACTAATATGTTAAGAAAATAGAAGCTGGAGACAACTAGTTTAATTTTAAATAAAAATATTGCAGAGGTGTGTTAATTTTGTCTATCAGTGTATTATTCAACTTATTATAAACAGGTAAGTCTGGGTGATGCCAAGGTTTAACTAAAGAAGAAGAATACATAAATATTGTTATTATTAATATAAAAGAGCAAACACTTAAAAGAGATATAAATTGAGGTAAGTTATAATTGGAAAATACTAAACATCAAACCTTAAATATTTAAAATACATCAACAATTAAACAATTAATGTTTAGCCTCTAAAGGCATCATCAAAAAAGTAAAAAGATCACAGATCACAGACGAAACAAAGCACATCTCATATGAACAGTATAAAAAGACATTATGCCCCTGCTGGAAGAACAGAAAAAACACGTCGAAAAATTGTCTATCGAAAACACCACCTTAAAGAAAAAAATATCGGAGCTGGAAATTTGATTAAATTATACTGAGCAATATCAGTTAAAAAATACAGTCAAAATCCGAGGAATTCCAGAAAAGCCGGGTGAGACTGTGACTGGGACCATTCTTAGCGTCGGAGTGGGTCTGGGCATCAAGTTAAGTCCAGATGATCTGGATCACGCAGTGAGGCTCAAACCGAAGCAGGAAGGGACTCCAGGCGCTATCATTGCTCGCTTCGTCAGGCAAACAACAAGAGATGAACTGCTGCAGCAGAGAAGAACGAAAAGAGACTTCTCTACACGCCATCTGGGCTGGGGGGACAACGATTCGCACCGGGTTTACGTGAGCGAAGCAATGACCCCCGCCAATAAACATCTATACTGGTTAGCCAGACAAAAAAAGATGACGGCAAAGATAAAATACCTGTGGTTCAGTGGTGGCAAAATTCGATGCAGACAGTCAGATGGATGTCTGGCAGTAGTTATAGGGAAAACTAGCGACTTGGACGTCTTTATATGAATTTTGTATGTAAGTCTCCCAAAATTTGTATCAATTTTAGTCTTTTCTATCAAAAATATTTTTATTTTAATTTTTGTAAGTTACCTTCTTCATTATCGTTTTAAAGAGCTGGAATTCTATTTGACGGAATGTTTTTTCTTTATAATTTATTGTAACCAAAGCCAACTTTATATTTGTTCACATCATAAATTAATTCTTTATATTTATTTCTATTCGAGTTTATATGATTTTAACTCTTTCTTTTCAAAGTTTATTTTATGCTTATATTTTCTTTTCTGTTGCAAAAATGAATATTTTGTTAAAAAACTGTTATATCCTACTCTCCTTCCTCGATCCTTTTCCCGGCAACTCTCCTTCCCAACATCTCAGTTATGACTAATATCCTAAATTCCTGTCATGTCAATGCACAATCCCTTAATGCCCACTTTGATGAATTCCAAAAATATTTCCTCGAAAATTTTTACCACACAATAGCAATATCTGAAACCTGGCTGAAACCTTTTATTCCTTCCTCTCAAATTTCCCTCCCCAATTACTCTTTCCTACGTCATGACAGACCTGATCGCACGGGAGGTGGTGTCGGACTATATATACATAATAGTCTCAAGGTTAAAATCCTCTTACAGTCTCCTTTTCATGACCTCCCTCACGTTGAATATTTATTTGTTGAAATTACTGCTATTTCCTCTCCTCTATTGTATGTTGTTGTCTACCGCCCTCCTCGTGTTCTATTTGACCAACTCTTTGAATCCTCCCTTGTCAACCTGGTTACCTCCTACTCCAATATCATCATCTCCGGCGATTTTAATGTAAATATGCTCACAGAATCTCCCGACAAATACTACCTCAATGACCTAATATTTTCTCTCAATCTTTATCTTGTCCCTTATTCTTCCACTCATCACACTCAGTTCTCTGACACCTGGTTAGACCTCCATATCTCTGACTCACCGCTTAAAATCCTTTCCTCCTCTCAACACCCTGTACCTTTTCTATCATCACACGACCTGATCCAAATCTCGTACGACCTACCCGTGAAATCATTTACTCCCAAAATAGTATCATATCGCAATTTAAACCTCCTTTCATATGAATCCCTTCAACCTGACCTGGATTCTGCCCAATGGGATACCATATTTTCCTACACCTCCATTGACCCTATGATATCCACCCTTACCTCAAACCTACAATCCATATTAGACATCCATGCTCCTCTGAAAACCAAAATCTTACGTCGTCCCACTGCTCCTTGGCTGACTCCTGAAATAAAGGGAATGATAAGGAGAAGGAATGCAGCAAGGCGCAAATACCATCAAACCCGCTTACCTGCTGATTATGCATCTTTCAAACAACTCTGTAATGCAACCCAATCCACAATCCGACTTGCTAAATCCAACTACTTTCATAATGCCCTTACCAATGCTCCCGATTCCAAGTCAAAATGGAAAATACTTCGTAATCTATCCCTACCAGATTCCAATAACCTCATTTCCCTCCCTGTGACTCCAGATGATCTTAATGACCATTTTTTATCTTTTGCTTCTAATCCTTCTCCTACTCATGATATTGAACACCATAATTTCAATCCTGAAAACTTCTTTTTTTCCCATGTGTCCTACGACGAAGTACTTTCCACTATACTCAAATCCCACACCAATGATTATGGTCCTCACAATATTCCAGTAAAACTAATAAAATCCAGCCTTCCTACCCTTATTCCAGTACTTTATCATATCTACAACTTCTCATTGCAAAATTCCACATTTCCCTCTTCCTGGAAAACTGGACTCGTCCGACCATTGAGTAAAACATCTAACCCTTCCTCACAGAACGACTTCCGCCCTATTTCTCTTCTTTCCAACCTCTCAAAACCACTGGAACGCCTTGTCCAAAATCAACTTTCCAACTTCCTAGAAGAACGTTCCTTCATCAATCCATTCCAATCTGGCTTCCGACCCGGCTATTCAACGCAATCTGCCCTCCTTAAAATAACCCATGACCTCCAAAACTCCATTGAACACCAAAACCTTACTATCCTCATCCTTCTAGATTTGTCCAAAGCATTTGATACAGTTGACCATAACATCCTTCTTACCAAATTGCAAAATCTTCCTCTATCCAACAGTGTCCTACGTTGGTTCAAATCCTTCGTTTCCGATCGATCCCAGTATGTAGTCGTCCCAGATCAACCTCCTTCAAAGACACTTCCCCTCTCCTGTGGTGTCCCTCACGGTTCCTCCTTGTCTCCTACTCTATTTGCTATTTACATTAATGACCTTCCCAACCAGATCCATCACTCCCAATACCACATCTATGCAGACGATTTCCAAATATACCTTTCCTTCTCCCCTTCCGACCTATTAGCCGCCACAAAAAAGCTTCAAGAAGATTTAAATAGAATATACGACTGGGCAGGAGTTAACAAGTTGAAGTTGAATGCGAAAAAGACCAAGGCAATCCTAATAGGCTCCAATTACCTCCTCAAAATTGTCCCTAACTTTCCAACCCTCTTTTTACATGATAATCCCATTAAATTTTATCCCACCATCAAAAACCTTGGAATAATCTTCGATCAAACCCTTACCTGGAAAAACCATGTGTCCAATATCTCCCGACGTACCTTTTCCACCCTAAAACACTTAAATAGCCTGCGACACTTTTTTCCTTTTGAAATCCGTAGACTCCTGGTCACCTCTTTAATATTTCCCCATTTCGACTATTGCTGCACGGTATATGGGGGCGTCTCTAGGGATCTCGAGGCGAAACTAAAACGTTTGATAAATTGCTTCGTACGATTCATCTTCGGGATCCCAAGAGACACTCCTGTTTCCTGTTTCTATGAAGAGTTGAAGTGGCTTTATCCTTCCAACCGCCGTAAGTATTTCCTGGCATCCTTCCTCTTCCAAGTAATTCACTCCCGCCGTCCTTCATACATCGCCGAGCTCCTTCAATTTAAATCCTCTGTCGACTCCCGCAATACCCATTCCCGGTCCTCAGATCTATATATAATGGCCCACCGAGCCGCTGCTTTCGATAAATCATTTATTATTCGATCCTCTTCCCTATGGAACTCCATCCCTCCCCACATCCGTCAATCCAAAACCCTTCATACCTTTAAATCCCAACTGTTTAATCATTTCTTATCCATCCAGTCCTCATCATAAAATTGTAAATAGTTACTACTGTAAATATGTATATAAATTATTAGATCGTTCTTTATTATTTTTACTTCATGTTTATTTTCAATTTTTATTATTAACTGATGTAAATTAGAAAGTAACTTATAATTTCTCTAAATATTTTTTTTTTTTTTTTTTTGTACTATTTAATCAAACTATACTCTTGTTTATGTATCTCTGAGGCTCCTTAGCCCACATTTTTGTTTCTCTGTATTATTCTAAAGGGACTCGTCCCAAAATAAATAAAGCATTATTATTATTATTATTATGTTTTTCAGCAGACATAATCTAATGCAGCCTAATAAGGCTTATATTAAGCCATAAACTATGAGCTGTTTTCTACAAAATGTGACTATAGTAGTTTTAGCAAACTGTATGAGACTTGTTGGAATAACAAGCTCATAATCTTTTGGATCTATCAGAAAATCCGTTCCAAATAGATTGAGCTTAGGCCCAGTGAATGTGAGACCCGTCAGCCAACTTAAGGAAACTCACACTGACCAGGCGTAGGACTGATGACCCTACCTCATGTAGTGAAATCGGAATGTGGTTTACCAGGATGTCAGTAGTCCCCCTGAGGTTTGGTCCATGGATGGTCTGTTTCCTCATGAGCCTGCTGACTCTGAGCAGCCATAATCCATGGTTCTAGACTAATTAGTCACTGTCCTTGAACCCGAGTGAGTCGGTGGGAAGGACACTGCTAGATTGGCCCCAAAGGGGCCGGCTATGGAGCTATGGGTGGCCTGCTGCCGCACCATGGAGACCAGACCATGGTTCCTAGTAACGTGAGGTTGGGTGACCCGCTCCAGGCTATCTGTGCTCCCGTAAGCAATATACGTCTGTAAAGAGACCACATCTCGCAGCCAAAGATCTTTATGGTCTATAGCACCAACCAAAAAAAAATATGTATATATATATATATATATATATATATATATATATATATATACACATTTTTTTTTGTCATCTACCACAAGATATCAGGTCTTGGTAAAAACGACCACTTGCCTAATTAGTCCACTCACCAATGCCAGTAACAGTAATTATTACAATAAAATTCAGTCTAATTCGATTAACTATAAAACAATAACAATAATACACTGTACCTGGAGCCAGTGTGCCCTCTGACATGCTGTATAATGGCATCTTGATCAAGAGCTACATGTTGGCACAGCTGACATTTGAGGTCACCAGATTGTGCTGAATGTAAGGCCAGGTGTTTCCTTAGGGATCCTTTACAAGTGTAGGTCTACCAACAAATTTTTTTTAAAAATTAGTAATCAATACATTACTAAAAATCATTCATGACAGATGGGATTTGGATAAAACAAAATTTAAATATATGCATGGCTTTATAAATTAGTAATTTCTTTCTGAAAAGATGTTTTTACTTTAAAAACCTTTTATGTTCAGGAATAGTTATGAAATAGATTATATACGGTAATTAAACAAAAATAAAGTGGAAGTAAGAACAACCTAAAGAAGAGAAAATTTACTACAAGATTTTTAATAAATTTAAGATATGTCTAAAGGTAAAGAAAATACAATGTTTGTATACTTTATGATTAATAGGATTCAGTTCAAGTTGGACATGGAATGACTTAATAATTATTTTTTTGTTGTGGTAAGAATAGTACATTTTCCACCTTTAGTATTTCTAATTTTTGAACATTAATTTTTACCTTAGTTATTCTATATATCTTTTTCACTCCTACCATAGTTTTACCTACTTTGGATCTTTATTTTTGGAGTTGTTGAAGACCTACAATGTAGGTAAAAATGTCAACATTGAATAAATTAGCAGTTATTAGATGTTTTTTCTGATCGATGTATTGATTCATAGTTTAAGTCAAATATTTTTCCAAAAGAAGTCAGCTTACAGCCAAAGCAACTGATAAATAAATAAAGCTGTTCCAAGACAGAGCTAAAGAATTTATTGCTTAAAATTATAAGAGAGTACCCATGAAAACTTAGTTAAAATTATTAAGAATCCCAAATTAAGTTATAAAGGTAGAAATGGAACAACTATTGGACATTTTATTTTATTGTTTATGAAAGTCGTTTCTGAAGTAGAAATGGAACAACTAATGAAAACTGTTAACCTTGGGAGCCTCTAAATATGTATAAGATGGATTGCTATGAGCTACATGCCCCACTTATCTTAACCTCTGTGCCTTTATATCATGGGATATTGATTGACTAGTTTCTGTAAGCAGTTCTAGCTTGTTGGTCGCCTATTATATTCTTGTAATATGGATATATCCGGTTTAGTAGGATATTGGTCATTATCTTGTAGGCTACCGGAAGGAGTGCTATGCCTCTGTAATTACTACACTCATATATGGATGGAGCCTTCCTTGAGGATAGGACAGATTAGGCCCATATTCCAAGCCTCAGGTATCCTTTCCTCTTCCATTATTTTCAGGATTAGTTGTAGTAGCTTGGCTCTTAAGTTGTCTCCTCCATCTTTAAACAGTTCTGATGGTAGGTTGTCTATCCCTGGAGCCTTTCTTGTTTTGAGCCTCTCGATAGTTATTTCTTTATGCAGTATATCTGGTTTTTCAACCTCTTCTGGGTCAAGATCCACAGTGTGGTCCATGTATTCTTTTTTCTTGGGGCCCCCTTGACTGAGAAGTTACTGGAAATGTTCTTTACAGGTGTTCAATATCTTTTCTTTAGATGACATCAGAGTGCCATCTTTTCCTCGCATTTGCGTATTTCTTGCTTTACATCCTACCCTTTCTTTCCTAATGTCTGTGTAGAATTTGCGTAGATCTCAAGCCTGTCATTTTCCTCAATGGTTTGCAAACCTTCTTTGAGAAATTCTCTTTTTGCCGATCTAATAGTTTTATATGCCTTTTTCTTGGCAGCTATGTAATTGTCTTGAGCAACTTGATCAGTTGTAGTTAGGCAGAGGACTTTCATTTTGCTTCTTTCCTCTACTGCCTTTTCGCATGCTTCTGTGAACCACATCTTAGCTTTTCGTTTTTTCCTGAATACCAATCACTTCCTTAGCTGTTTCTTTTAGTCCTTTCTCTATTTCCTCCCAGAGTTGGTCCACTGTGAGGCTCTCCGAATCCAAGGGTTTGAGTTTATTTTTCAGCTAAAGTTGGAATTGGGTGTTTACTTTACGATTATTTTATAATTTTAATAATTACATTTATAACATATTATACATTGTACCTGATTTAAAATGACTTTTAGTTAATAATAAATACTATTAACTGAATTCAGTTTTGTAACTTTCGTGAAAAGCAATGTAACTCATATTATAATCAACTACATTGTTATACTCTATATTTTTACTTACTTTAACGATAGATAGTTATCTTTAATATTGCTACTGCTAAAATTGCTAAAAGAATGAATGTTAATTGTGAACCTTTACTAATAAACAAGTGCTATAAGAAAAAAACTTTACTAGTATTTAATTTGAACTGTGGTACTCTATTGAATTTCAAGAGCGTTAGTTATTATATAGCTGATCATTCCAGATTTTTAAAGTAAAAAAAAATTCAACATTGCTCACAATCTTCTAGATCAGAACTCCCTAAACTTTTTTGTTTTTATTCAATGTGAATTTCTGATAGATTACTTTTTGTAATATTTAAAAAGAAAATGTAAATGGTATCAATAAAAAGAAATAAATACTTATAGTAACATAAACCTTCATTACTTCTAAAATTAGAAAAACATATTTCTATAGAAAAGAAGAAAATATAAACTGTAATGAATGTTATTAACTTTATATAGTTTTATATTGGGTGAGGAAAAATTAATTTTGTTTTATCCCAATAGGTGACTTTAAAGTCTCTTATCTCTTTTAATCCTTATTGAATGAAGCCATTCTATAATGCATATGAAAAGTCACAGTCCATAAAACATTCTATATATAAAAATAGCATGATTCATTAACTCAGTCAACAATTATTGCGCTGTGAAAATGGAGATTCCAAAAGTTCATTTTCATCATATTTTGCAGTTTTACTTCTGAAAAGAGAAAAATGCAGAGGAGGCTTGTCGAAAATTGTATGATGTTTATGGTGATGAGTGCTTAAGTGAATGTCAGTATCAGAATTGGTTTGCTTGTTTTCGTTCTGGTAATTTTTATGTTAAAGATGAACCCCACCCTGGCCGACCAATCATTGGAAAAGTCAAGACTCGATACAAAAAGAAGCTCGATACTTGGGTTCTAGATGAATTAACAGAAAAATTGAATGGACCGAGTTTCCATTTGTGAATCGCTGCTGAAACGTAACAAAATCGAGCCATTTTTGAAACAAATGATTACGGGTGATGAAAAGTGGATCAGGAATGACGATAATGTGCGAAAAACATAATAGCCAAAGCCCAGAGAAGCTTTTCAAACAGTGGCAGAGCTCCGATTGACGCCAAGGAAGGTGATGCAGACTGTTTGGTGGGATTAGAAAGGAATTGTTCATCATGAGCTGCTTGAACCAAGCCAAACCATTAATTCAACTCTCTACTATGAAGAACTAGTGCAATTGAAACAGACGATTCAAGAAAAACGGCCAGAATTGATCAATAGGAAAGGTGTTATTTTCCATAAGGACAACGCTTGGCCACACACATCTTTAATGACCCGGCAAAGATTGAGAGAGCTTGGTTGAGAAGTTTTGATGTGTCCATCACATAGCCCCATCTGACTACTATTTGTTTCGGTCTCTGCAGAACTCTCTTAGTGGTGTAAAGCGGGCATCAAAAGAGGAATTTGAAAATCACTAGGTTCAGTCTTTTTCCCAAAAATTTCGGAACTTCTATAGTGATGAACTTATGGTTTTATAAGAAAAGTGGAAAGAGGTCATCAATCAAAACGGCACATATATCATTGGTTAGTGTTTGAAATTTATATAAATAAATTCGCTTTGAAAAACATAAAGAAAAACTAAATTACTTTTTCCTCAATCCAATATTAGATTCAATCTAAGTCAAGAATTAGAATTAAATATTAATTAGAAGTGATATGGGTTGAATGCAGTGTTACCATTTGAATTGAAAACATATCTATCTGCAGCATGACACGTAAAAGAATAGTGGTGATGAAAAAAAACAAAACACAAAGCTATAATATAAATAAATTACTATTTTCAAAGTAATTGCTCATACTTACAATTAATTATTAGATATTTTTTTAAATATATATATTTAATACTTCATAGACAACTAGCAGATAACAGTAATACTGTTGCCAGGGTGAGAGCCAAAAAAGCTTATGTTAGACATAAGCAGACACAATTTTGCTAACAGGCACGAATGACGACACGAGGACACAGTGGTGCCAGCAAGTTCAAAGTAGGGAAAGAACCCCTTTCCTAGAATTTCAACTCCATTACATGCAAAATGTTATTATTGGTTCTTTTTATATATCTAATGCTGTTTGATCATTATTAGTTAGGTTATTATTAGTTATTATATAAATGAAAACGTAAGGTTTTTAAGTTAAAATTTTAATATTCCTACTAATAATTTTAAGCTGTTAAGTTTTAAATAATATCATATAGTTGTTTTTTTTTTTTTATAATTTGTTTTATATTATCTGGTTGTTTCTTTTTTACATGGACTTCTAAAAGAATTTGTAATAATAAAATACCTTTGGGTTTCCATAAATTCTATTAAAAAATGAGTGCATCAGCATGATCAGACATTGAATTTATTTACAAAAACAATATAAAGCGGCCATGAATAAAGATTAAGCACACACACAAACACAGGATGTCACATAATTAACACAAAATATTAAAAGAATTGATAAAACACCTCAAGAGCTATTAAAACAGTTCATAAACACTATAGTCCGATTCCACACAGAAAATTAAAGATACATGTTTAAGAAAAACTTCCTAGTTTAATAAGCATCAAGTACATATTAAACAAGTTGAGATTAATAACAGAATAAACTGAGAATGGCCTACAGTTTTTAAAAAAAATATATGACATGATATTCTGTTCCCTCAAAGTGGTTTTCAACACCAAAAGTGACAGTGGACAGTGCTTTGTTACATAAAAAAGCAACCTTAAAATAGTTGTAATAAAAATGGGTTCTATTTCTTTTCAAAGTAAATTTTATCCAGCTTACTATATTTGGTAATCAACTAAATGAAATAATTTTTTAGTTATCACTTCTTATTCAACAAAAAACATTTATTGCAATAGGTCTTATGTCCAGAATTATTCTGTATTTGTCTGTATACCACTGGTATTCTTAAGGGACTTTGTCCTAAAATAAAGTTACATATTCAATTTTATTATATTATAAAAATATGTGACGCTTATAATAACATAAAACTTTAATTTCTAGCTTTACTACGGTGAATGAGACCACAGTATATATGAATTTTTTATAGCTCTTTAGACCTATTATCACTTCTTTAAATACATACCATTGCTTAAGGGACACCCCGGATACATGTACAAAACCTGTAAATACTCCTGATAAATGTCATTTTTTAAAATAGCTATTAATATATAATCACTATTTACTTTTTATGATTTATGTTATTTTATTAATTTTAAAATGAATTAAATATAAGGTAATAATTGGTAAAAATCAAGCATAAAGCCTTGAGTCTATAAAATGCAGATAAAAGAAATTAACCTGTTAATATTTTGCTATTTCAGGCTTCATCAAGATAGAAAGCAACCTAAATTACTATAAAAATTGACAAAATGCAACAAATATCTCAAAAAAAAAGAAGAC